GGGGGAGAAATAGGGAGGAAGCAACGGTTTCTAGGTGACCATAGGAATTTTAATCGGGAAAGGGATTTAGGAACCAGAACTTTTTGATGTAAAGTGGAGATTATAATTTTATTGGAGTTTCTAGGGATTGGGGGGTTTTCTAGAATTTTTTAGGAAACGGGAGAATCTTCCAAAAAATCGGAGGATTTTCTAGATTTTTTTAGAAAATGGAAAACTCTTCTAGAAAATCGGATGATTTTCTCGATTTTCTGAGGAACTGGAGAAATCTTCTAGAAAACCAGATGATTTTCTCGATTTTCTGAGGAACTGGAGAAATCTTCTAGAAAACCAGATGATTTTCACGATTTTCTGAGGAACTGGAGAAATCTTCTAGAAAACCAGATGATTTTCACGATTTTCTGAGAAACTGCAGAAATCTTCTAGAAAACCCGAGGATTTACTCGATTTTTTTAGAAAATGGAGAAATCTTCTAGAAAACCAGATGAATTTCTCGATTTTTTCAGAAAATGGAGAAATTTTCTAGAAAGCCGGAGGATTTTCTCGAATTTTTTAGAAAATGGAAAACTCTTCTAGAAAATTGGATGATTTTGTCGATTTTCTGAGGAACTGGAGAAATCTTCTAGAAAACCAAATGATTTTCACGATTTTTTTAGAAACTGCAGAAATCTTCTAGAAAACCCGAGGATTTACTCGATTTTTTTAGAAAATGGAGAAATTTTCTGGAAAGCCGGAGGATTTTCCCGAATTTTTTAGAAAATGAAAAACTCTTCTAGAAAACCACATGAATTTTTCGATTTTTTCAGAAAATGGAGAAATTTTCTAGAATGCCGGAGGATTTTCTCGAATTTTTTAGAAAATGGAGAAATCTTCTAGAAAACCGGATGATTTTCTCGATTTTCTTAGGGACTGGAGAAATCTTCTAGGAAACCGGATGATTTTCTCGATTTTCTTAGGAATTGGAAAACTCTTCTAGAAAACCGGAGGATTTTCTGGGTTTTTTCAGAAAATGGAGAAATTTTCTAGAAAACCGGAGAATTTTCTCGAATTTTCCAGGACCCGATCGGCCGCGCGTGCTACGCACACGCCTCCTCATCTCCTCACGTAGTGGCGCTTCGGCTTCACTCCTTTACGTTTACGCTCATTCGAGGTTTTCTTTTTTCTTTCTTTTTTTAGACATAGATTTGAGGGCCCAAATCCATATCTATATTACCTTAAACGTCCGTATTCATCGGAATTTTTGATCATTTTCCCCAAGATTTTCCATCTACGTTGCGATCGCGAATAAATATTTTCCCTAGATTTCCGAAATGAAAAGGAACCTACAATAGGCGGGAACCTACAAAGGAGGCCACAATAGCTCAAATGGCAGAGCACCTGTCCGGCAAACAGAAGATGTGGGATCACACCCCACTTGTGTTCGAGCCCGTGTGCCTCCGAATTTTTTAATTTGTGCATTGATAATTATTCAATTATTTCCCTCGTATAGAGGTCCGGAAAGTCGATGGATAGCATATAGCATCCCACTTTCCATGTAATTTATGCCTTAAAAACATCTAAGGTTGACCGAGTAGAATAGCCCAGGGGATAATATAGATGGAGAAAAGGAACCTACTTGCAGGGGTTCACATTCTCGCCACTCGCCAGTAGCTCCTCGGGAGAGATCGGAGATAGGGCTCGCAACCTGCTTATAGTTAATCTTCCAGAAGAATATCTGGATTTTCGGAGTGAGGTCCAAGCATGTGCGTGGGAATTCCGTAGAGTGAGGATACTCTCGGAAGGATAAACATCTACCAGACAGCCTATCCACGTGTTCCCCTCCGGTCCGATAGATAGTCCTCGAATGCTAGACTTCCCAATGCCCTCCCCAGAAAATCCCGGTCCCCGTCGCTAAATATCTCGAACTCAAGGGATTCCCTCGTTCCCCCAGGTCCTGGCACCGAAGATGCATCGGCGGCACTCCCCCATCCTCTCCATCGGACTGGATCTGCGGGGAGTGTGCCAGCATCCTAAACGCCGAAAACGCGTCGACGCGCTCCCCCCTGATGTCCACCCTGACGATGGACCAGCTCTGCATGGTCCTGAAGCACATAATCCTCAAGATGAAGCGAGTGACGGGCTCCGAGGAGTTCGCGAAGCCCGTGGACCTGGCCGACGTCGCCAACTACCTCGACTACATCGTGCGACCGATGGACCTGACCCTCCTCGAGGCCAACGTCAGGTCGAAGGAGTACGGCAGCCCGGACGCCTTCATGGCCGACGCCAAGTGGATCCTCCACAACTGCCTGGTCTACAACACAGAAGGTGGAAAGTACACAGACACTTCGAGGCTGACGACAGTAGCGAAGCAGCTGATCAAAGTAACCCGGGAGGAGCTCTCGGAGCTCGAGTCCTGCCCCACCTGCTACATCCGCGGAAGGCACCTGGGGCGACCCCACTACACCTGGTTCAACGACGCCTGCAAGCCCCCGCACCTCCTCGTCTGGGCGAAGCTCAAGGGCTTCCCTTACTGGCCAGCCAAGATCATGCCCAGATGGAACCAGCAGGGCTACGTGGACGTGCGCTTCTTCGGCGAGCACAACCGCGCCTGGGTGTCCCCCAAGGACATCTACCTCTACTCCAAAGACCCTCCGACAGCGACGCCAAAGTCCAAGAAGGAGGACATCGCCGAGTGCCTCAGGGAAATATCAATCCACATCAAACGACTTGGAGAGACCTTCGGAAGGTTCGAGCACGCGCCCCCGAAGACGCCGTTCAATCCGTTTGACCCTCGTCAGATCACCATTCTACTTCCCGATTACGAGCCCCCAGGTGGTGACTACTACCGACTGCCTAGGAGGGGGCCCCTCAGCAAGGGGAAGAAGAGGAAGTGGGACTCGATGTCCGACACCTACAGCGAAGCTTACTTCTACTCTGATGCGGAGACGCTAGCTGATTTTAACGAGGGGGATGACGATGAGGATGTCGAGGTTGCTGTCAGGGGGAGGGAGACCCCCAAGATGAGGGGCTCCAGGAGGCCGGAGACCCCTGGCCTTCCGGAGGCCTCCATCCCTGGGAAGCGAGCTATGACGAAAGTTATGAAGGCTGTCCCTCTGAAGAGGAGGTCGCTGACCAGAAGTCTCGCTGGGGGCAGGAGGGGTGCTCGACGGAGGACAGCTGCTGATGGGGATAAGGAGGAGGAGGTGAGGGTCAGGGCGACGAGGCAGCTCCCGGAGAGGGTCAACAGCCAGGGGAAGTCCATTAACAAGAGGACGAGGGCCTCCGTCGGCGATCCTGGACGGTCGAAGGACGCTGAGGATCCTAAGGAGGAGGTCGAGGAGAAGCCGAAGGCCGAGGGGAGGAGGCAGAGCAAGGCTAAGAAGACTTTCCCCAATAGACCCCCCGGGATGGGGGTGCCGGGCTCGCCCGGGAAGGAGGGCGAGGGGGGGCTGTCCCCCGTGAAGACGGAGGGCAGCTGGTGGAGGGTCCCTTCTGAGGCTGGACCCCTGAGCTCGCTGCTGAGTAAGGGGGCTGATACCCTCGCTAAGCAGATGGCGTTGGTCATTGAGGAGGGGGTCAAAATGGCGGCACAGGGGAAGGGGGCGCTGGCTGGAAGTGTGACGGTGGATCAGGCCCTGGTTTTTGATATGAAGATGAGGATGGAGAGGATGAAGTGGGAACATGAGCAGGAAATTGTTGAGATGAAACGGAATTCAGGTAAGGGTGATTTGGGTTGATTTTTTTTGGGTGGAGTTGGGTAATTGGTAATTGAAAATTAACAGTAATTGGTAATTATTTATTTAGTGTTTTATTATAAATTAGAGGAGTTTGAGAAGTTGATGGTAATGGTGCTTTGGACCGATTGTTCATTTTTTTTTTTTGTCATTGGGCAATTGTTGATTAAAAATAAAATAATCAATAATTGGTAATTATTCATTTATTTTTTTATCGGGAATTAGAAGAACTTGGAAAGTTATGGAACATCTCATGAAAAATCTGTATTGGAAATTAAAAAAAAAAACTACTGAAATCTGGGGCAAACTTTGGAGCATGAATTTTCAGCCAAAAGGGGGAGGACAAATCTGAAAGATGGCTTCAAAAATTTGCTCATTTTTCTTTTTTCTTTTTTTCTTTTTCTTGTTTTATTTGATGAGGTCAAATTATTTTTAAAAATGTTTGAAAATACGAGGTGAGAGCACCGCCATCTTGAATGTCTCTTGTGGACGATGTGGATATAAACAAGATGGCGTCACCCACCTCGCATTTTCTTCAACTTATTTCCTCCAGTTTTTAGAGAAAGAATAAATTTTTCAAGCTATCATTCAAATTTGTTCATCCCCTTTTGGCAGAGAATTCATGACGAAAAGTTTTTCCCACATTTCAGTCTTTTTTTTTACTCCCCTAAACCTTAATACCAATTTCTTGGGTATTTTCAACTCCACTTATTCAATTTTTCCTGTTAACTTTGTCGATAGAAAAAGAATGGAAGGAGATAAAAACAGCAATGGAAGCCGAGCAGCTGCGTGCCATCGAGGAAATCCAGCATTCAGCGGAAATAGAAAAAGCTCGATCCATCCACGAAACCAAACAAAAGCAGTGGTGCACCAGTTGTGCGAAGGAGTCGTGCATGTACTGCTGCTGGAACACCTCCTACTGCAGTGAAAAATGCCAGATGAAGGACTGGGGACAGCATCAGAATAAATGTAAACGAAAAAACAGATCGCCCTCTAAAGCCTCGGTAACAGGTGGCGGCAGAGTGAATGGGCAGAAGGACCAGCAAGAGGGAATGACCAAGGGAATCGGTGGTCAGAGCAACTTCTCCTACAGTCGTGGTGCTTGATTTGCAATTTAGTTAAATGTTTTTTTAGTTTCTCCATGTGCTCTTTAAGTTGTAATTGACTAATTGTGTGCATAAACAAATTTTGTTTATTCAATCAATGTGAAGAAATTATCTGAATCAAACACTTAGATTCTTTTTCTCTGTAAAGATTGCCAGTATTTTTTAGGTATACAGTGTCATATTCGTGTGAAATTGAGGGAGATTCGAGTGAAATAAAGAATCGTTGACTTTTTTTTTACATACGTTTGTATTTTATTATTAAATTGTGGTGGTACATTTATTTGGCTTTCTTGCTCTTGATCTTTCGCATGTAGAACTCGAGCTCTTTGCCTTCCAGAATGTAACCATCCGCTCGCCCACACTGACCTGGTCGACTTGCAACACAAGCTGAAAGAGAATATTTAATTTAATTTAATTCATTAGATGTTGAGCATGGATACGCGATTTTTAAAGATTAAAATTTGGAATAAATTTAAGATGATAGTCAATATGAATAAAAACACTCAGGTGTAGTATTACTGACATAATTAGTACTATTGATTGATAATAATTAATTTAGAAATACCAAATGATCGAAAATCTCAGTAGAAAAAGATTGTTTCAAATTTTAAAAGAATAAAAAAAATGTTAAAAGATCAGAAAATGAAATGGAAATTCTATTTTCAATATGAAAATTATAAAGTTTCGTTGCAAATAATTCATTTTAATGTGCTGACAATACCCTAGTCAAACAAGAGACTATTGTTTTAAAAAGAAATTTGAAGAAATATAATTTTTTGGGTATTTTAAATTGATTTTTCACGCTCATACTACTTTAATTTGAATTTGCTTACCAAGAACACGTCCAGTAGCAAACTGTTCCTCCAATGCTGGTTCTACCTTGGCGAATCGTTGCCTGGCCTTGTATTTAGCCTCACACTTCTTCGATCTCTTCTTGTTAAGTGCCTCCTCCTCGGCTTCAGTCTGAAATTAATGGAAAGAAATTAATTTCATTTATGCATTTGTTTCTCTGTGGAATTGTTTTGGCGATTGTTGACGTCAGATCGCTGTGGGATTGGTGTCTGCATGGCACTCAGATTATGTTAATGTCATCATTTGTCAGTTATTAATGTCAAAATCATTCAATCGTTAATCATTGCATTCTCTTGGTATCAAGTACTTTTAGGGGAAAATGTTGCAAGACATTTTATATTCGGAATTCTCTGCACAAAATATCTTGTGACATTTTATTTTAAAATTACAAATTCCTGAGATATTTGCAAAACTTATAATTAATTAACTAGACGCATTCCGGAAATTGAGTTTTGAATTGAAAATTTAATTCTCACAAACAAATTGTGTTGAAATTTTATTAAAAAGCCAGATGTAGAAAGAATGTTGATGTGAGTCAATTAGACGAATTCAAATTAATTTTGGAATTATCTGGAAATCTATTTGTGAACAATTTTATTAATTTTTCAATCAATTTCAAAGTGATTTTTTCTTCTTTCAGATTGTTTAAACTGAAAATTCCATAATTTTCGGAAAATAATTGCTAAATAGAAAGATATGATGAATAAATGAAGATTTGACAGGAATTCTTCATTTGTAGCAATTAAATTTTAATTTTTTTTCAATAAAATTGAGTTAAAGTTTTGTTTTCGTGAATATGAGAAACTCACCAATTTAGCTCCACGTTTACGTCCCAAAGGGGTGGCGTAGTGGCTCTCGTACCACTGTCTGAAGGGGGTGGCGTCGATGGTAACGATGGCATTCTTAACCAAAGTCTTGGTTCTCACCAACTCGTTGTTGGAGGCATTGTACACCACGTCGATGATACGAGTCTTGCGGGTGGAGCACTCGGATCCCCACGAGAAGTTTCCAGTGTCCAGACGAAGGGCTCTGTATTTTTTGTTTCCACCACGTGTACGTACCTGATCAACACAATTCATTCCATCATCAGGCTTGATTCTTCATATCAATTTAATGAATTGTTTTTAGTTTTTTATTCAGAACGCTGTGGGATTGGTGTCAGCATGGCACTCAGAGTAGGTAAGGGTGATCATCATTTTGATAACAAAATATTTCGTTGATTTATATTATTGATTATGGAATGTTGTTTTTTTAGCTTTTTTATTCTTTTTTTTTAATTTTTTGTATTTGTGAATTGTCTGCAGATATTTGACAAATGGAAATGAATGCACTTTAGTTGAATAATAGTATTAAACAATTGCAATTTTTTAAATTTGAAAGCCTTTTCATAAGTAACTAAAAAACGATTAATTTTTTATGTATAAAAAATCATTTGATTAATTCTTAATAAACAAAAAAAATTGGGAAAATATTATTCTATTTTTACTTTTTTCCCCTTTTTCTTAATTGAAAAATATGTTAAAACTCGTGATAAAAACTAGAAAAACATGGGAAAAATTCATAAAATAAAAAAAATGGCCTTTTTTAAAAATCAAGACTTTCATGAATCACTCATAAATAATAGATTTTCCCCATATTCCAGCCATTTATTTCATCAGATCAAAAACTTGCTTCCATGTCTAAAAATAATGTGTTAATTTCCCATCACCAGAAGTCGACTTGGATTTTCGCAATACAGAAGACATTTTTTCACCCTTCGACTCCAAAATTATTGACATTCAACAATAAAAACATACTGTGTGGATTCTCTGGGCACCAAGCTTGGTGTTGGCAGCAGGACGTCCCAACTCGAACTTCCTCTTCTTCCTCAGAGGCTTCCTCTTGCCTCCTGTGGCACGTCGCTTATGCCAGTGATCCCTGGAAATACCTGCAACCCCGAGAAACAAATGAATCACTCAATCACAAAAACCCCCAACAATTCCCATCCCCAGCCCCTCCCCATAATAAACAATGAATAATTTCCAGAATTTCTCTGGCTCAACTAGACCGAAATGTTTACAAAGTTAACCTCATTTCCCTGTCACTGCCGACCCCCCTTAAAAAATCCACTTTCCAAAAAACCCAAAAAATATCGTCACAATTATCGAGAATAACAATCCCTTTGATCAACGATCACAACTTCTCTCAACAATTTCGCCAAGAAATCACGATGTTTAAAGATTACAAAAACCGAAATAAAATTCACGACTCACCCATCGTGCAAGAGCGACCGAAAAGGCCTTAAACTAGGAACGACAGAGATAAATCCCTCGACTTCCGGTGGAGCGAGTTCCCAAAGGCGGGAAAAGGCGCCACGTGTCGAAATCGGTTATTTCTAACACTTTTCGATGTTTTTGACGCTCGGCGGTAAATTACAGGTATTTTACCATGTCACGTGGAAAACCTCGACCTTTTTATGTTCAATCCTCCTGAAGAATATTGTTAATAATAAAAAAAAAAGCATTAAATTATAATTCAACAAGCGCTAATATTTATCACAATTTTGTATCACAATTTCGTTTATTAGTAAACGAAAAGGCACTTTTTGACAAGGGCTGAACGTAGCAGCAGTGACAAAATAGTATATTTCGTTACTAGTGCGGAAAAGAAATTTTTGGCTCGTTGGAGGTTTGTAGCACGAGCCGAAGGCGAGTGATATAATCCCACAAGCCAAAAAACACTTTTCCCATAAGTAACGAACGATATTTTTCATCACAATGTGTGGAAAAGGGACGTTTTAGGCACGCGAAGCGCGATGAAAAAGTTTTTTTTTCGAGTGGGAGGTACCCAACGCTCGAAGAACACTTTTCTCACGAGTGTCGAACCCTATTCTTCATCACAATGCGTGGAAAGTGGAATTTTGCTTCCCCGGAACGTGCGGAAAATGTCACTTTACGTACAAGTGATAAAAAATCGTTTTTTTATCAGTGAAAAATCTTTCAATTGAAAAATAACCAGAGTAGAACTACTTCAATCGTCGTCGTGTCCCTAAAAACGCTTCTTTATTATTCACCCCTGAAAAAATAACGTCCAAGCGAACAATTCAAACCTCCCGCCAATCTCTTCCTACCCCGCGGCTACTTCAAACTTCAGTACTTCTGGTTGCTTCCGGTTGTGGCGCCCCCGCCCACTTCTCGCTTGTTTTTCCCTCCCCTGCGCCCCCCAACATTTCATTACTCGCTCCAACAATCGTTCGTTGTTCATCGCATCAAAAAAATACGAATGTTCATTATCAAAAGCTCGAGAAATTGTCCAGATTTTCGATTAATGCGCCTGACGCCCGGGTTTTCCCATTTTTCCCGACTTTACCGAAGTGAAAATGTGAGCGAGCCACTTCCATACGCGATTACAACCGTCTGATCGTTTTTCGGGTATTTTTCAATGTTCAATTCTCCAGTGTTTCTCGTACTCTGCAAAAAAAAACTCAAACTTAATGGTCAGAACATTGAGAGATCATTGTTGTGGTGTTTGTTCGCTCTGAGACAATGAACACGAGTAACAGTGGGAGTGCAGAGGCTGCCGGTGACAAGAGACAGCCAGAGGCTTCCCAGGGCCCTCCGCACAGTCTAGCTACCATTCAGAATGTCCACAGGATCCAGACCATCCAGAATATCGTGCAGAGCAATGTGCAGACGATACAGCCGACCCAGAGTGTCGTCAGTACTGTGGCATCAGCTATTGTGGGCAAGTCTATTTCCCTGGATTTGAATCCAAAGCTGTCGCTCATGAAGTCTGTGGTGCAGAGTGGGGCTGCTGTGTCCGGGGAGACCAGCAAGATCACCACGACCCTCTGCTCGGTGGGGTCAACCGTGAGGATAATATCCCCAGGCATGTTGAGCACTGTAGAGCGTCAGAATCCATCCCCAGGGCAGAATCAGGGGGTCCAGCAGGTGGTAACCACCATTCCAGCCACGTACCACGTACCAAGGGGCCCAGCAGCAGTCGCCAACATCTCGGCGCCCAGGTCCACTGTCGCAACGCCCATTGTCAGGGCTAGTGGAGGAGCTGCTGTTGTTCCCATTGCCAGACCAGGGTGAGAAGCTTTGAACTTTATCTCCAGGCGATTCAGACTTTAGCTGAGTTTTCGGGAAATATCTCCGAATCTGGGGGAGATGACAATATTTTTGTGGTGAGGGTTTTTGCGGAGGACATTGAGGGCTACAAAAAAGGTCATGACGAAAATTTTGTTATCTCTGATAGATTTCGAGGTATTCACAAAATGGAGTTGAGGTTATTCAAGGATTTTTTAGAGTTTGGGACAGACTACAGATTCAATCATTTTCAATCATCAAATTTGTCAATTAAAATGCGTGAGAAAAGTTGGAACAAATATCGTGAATTTTCAGCGTCATTCAAATTACATTTTGCGCAGAATAATTTTTTTTTAAAACATTCGTTGTTTATAAATAAATATTTGACATTGTTTAAACTTTCGGAAACTTCATTTTTTATACATGAAATCGATTTCTGATCAAATTCTGAATATGAATAAATTTGAATTCTGAAAAAGAATAATTATGATGATAACATTCAACTAAGTTGAAAATCTGTCAAAATTAATTAAAAAGAAATTTTATTCAATTTAGTAAAATGAAATAAACAATGACTCATACATGATACAAGGAAATGACGTGCAAAATGGACATTCAGAAGCATATTGCCAATTTATTAGCAAAAATAATTATACTATACGCAATACAAAAGCAATTTCCCACTTGATTACATTATTATTTAATGAATTTTCACAATCGAACTCAAAAATATGAAGATAGTAGACGAAACGGCTGGTAAAGACGTAAAAAAAGACTTCTGTGACATCAAAAGAATGAATTAATTGACGTAAAATAATTTTCTTCTCCATTCCAGAGCTCCAACAACAGTGACAGCGACCCAATGGCCCCCGAAGACCTCAGTAGTCTACGCCCCTCCCCAGCGTCACCCAGTTCCCCCCGTGACTCGAGTGACAACTCGACCTCAAGCTGTCTACACCTCCCAGCAGCCCCAGCTGGTGCCCCAATCCCAAATCCGCCCAGTCCAGGCGACAGTGGTGACAGCCACAGTCTCAGGAGCTGCCCCACGACTGCTCACCCCTGTTCTTCAATCTACCAATGCCCTCACGAGGATACCAGTCCCCCAGGTGCGTCCAGCTATTCCTCTGGTGTCCACAGCAGCTGTGGCACCATCCAGACACCCCCCTCAGTCGATCCAGGCGACTCAGCCCACGAGAACCCTCGCGATACCAGCGACAACGAACAGGGTCACGGTGACAGCACCTGTGGTGGGAACAGCCAGTAGAATACCAGGAACAGCTTCTCTGACGGTGCAGCCAGCCCTTGGGCGCCAACTCTCGTTGAACCCCACCCCTGGGGCCACCACTAATTTCTCGAGGGTTGTGATCCCCTCGCAACAGGTGCAGCAGGCACCAGGCCATCAACAAGGTGAGGACAAAAAGAGAATTTAGGGGTTTCGTTCTGGTTTTTATTCAGAAAAATTATGAGTTTTAGGCGAATGACACTTTATTTGGAATTTTTGTATTCATTTCAGGATTTTTTCCGTGGGAAATTGATAATTTTGGTGTTATATTTATTTTAATGAACGTGTTTAGATGAAATGAAGAATACAGTCATTTGAAATAGGGGTTTCATTTCGATTTAGAAGAGTTTTTATTTGAATTAAGAAAACATCTTAGATTTTAAAGAGTATTTATTTGATGTAAGTAAAATGAGTAAAATGAGTAAAATTCCGGTAAATATATTTTTTCAATGATCAATTGATCTAATTTGATTGTAAATTCAAGAAAATGGGAATATTATCTTTCTGCTGCTCAAAAATTTGTGATTCCATTTAATTTTTACTGAAATTTCGCATTCAATGAGTACTTCTCCCCTAAATCGAATCCAATGTCGATCTCCTGAAAATTATGGCTAAACGGCCCATAAAATTTTAATTTTTCTCTAAAAACAACACTATATTTCGAGAATATCTTAGGGATGAAAACGATTGTTTTAATGTGTATAAAGTAATTTAGTATATTTTGTTAAAATTTTTTGGCTGAAATTTCTAATACACCTTTTGGAAAATTTTATTAGTTAATAATTCCACTGAAACTCGTAGGAATTTTGTCCTTGAAAATTCACAATTTGATGAAAAATCGATGGAAACTGGAAATTCCATTTCAACTATTCCACGCAAACTACCGCAAATAAAAAATAAATAAATAAACAACACAGATAAATAATTAAGAATTAATAATACTCAGCAAATGACCAAAAAATCAGATAAACATATTCTCCAATTTCCAATTAATCAAACTCAAGTCATCAAAACTCATCACCACGTTAAAAATCCACGTTAAAAATCAATGGAAATGTAAATTCCATTTCAACTATTCCACGCAAACTACCACAAATAAAAAATAAATAAACAACACAGATAAATAATTAACAATGAATAATACTCAGCAAATGACCAAAAAATCGGATAAACCTATTCTCCAATTTCCAATTAATCAAACTCAAGTCACCAAAAGTCATCAGCACGTTAAAACTTCGCGTTAATCAAACTGAAGCCATGAAAAGTCATCACCATTCATTAATCCCCCATCCCCAGGTGCCAGAGTGGTGCAGACAATCACCTCCCTCGCGAACATCGGGACAGTCTCCCGAGTGCTAGCGACGACGACCTCAGGCCCGATCACGAACATGGCGAGGGTGACGCAGTCAGCGCCGACGTCAGTCGCCCGAATAACAGGAATGACCCTGCACTCGCTGCCGCTGGCCTCCCCCCGGCCGTCGCCAGGGCCGATGAAGCCCCTGCAGGCCCAGACGATCACCCAGACAGTCCAGATAAAGTCCTCAGGCCAGCAGACCCTTCGCGTCACCCCGGCAGCTCCAGTGATCGCCACAACCTCCTCGACGATCGTCACCTCAGCCCCACCAGCGACGATAATCATCAACAACACGAACAGCATCCCCAGCTCTCCGAATCAGTATCAGTACCGTCAGGGTCAGCCAGTGAGGCTCCTGGTGGAGCCTCCGCACGAGGACAACCACAGCAAGCCCAACGCATCCCCAAGGCCGAGCATCCTGAGGAAGAGAGACCACGACAGCTCTCCAGCGAAGTCAATAGCCAAGAACCTGGTGCCTGTGCTGACCGCCCTGGCAGCTAGGCAGTCCATTGGGAGTCCCCCGGGGTCCCCAAGGGGCGACAGAGAGGGAAATCACAGCTCTGGATCGACCACTGTCTCCGCCACCAGCTCCCCAGGCCTCGACGAGGAGCCTGAACAGTCCAGGATCAGCGTACAGAGCAGTGTGATGGAGATGAGTCCCAGGAAAAAGCCCAGGAAGCAGCAGCTCACGGGGGTCGAGCTCACCGAGGCCAGGTGCAACGTCGAGGACATGCAGTTCATCTGCGAGGACAAGATCAAGAGGGAGATCAAGGAGGAGAGGAGGGACAAGTTCGGGGAGAGGGAGAGCGCGCAGACTGTTGTCGTCAGGGGGAGGCCTACGCCGAGTCTCATTGGTAAGGGTAAGCACGTTTTTTTGTTTTATTTTTGTTTA